CAGAATTTATGACGAGGGACTTAGTGCCTGTACGGGCCAAGATCCACACAGGGCACTTACACCTCGACATAGTAATAGCCTCAGGTTACTTCGCTGGAGATGGGCAAGCACCGCCAGAAGAGGTACAGAGGCTATCCGACTACTGCAGCAGGAGCAAACTACCCCTCCTGCTAGGCTGCGATGCCAATGCCCATAACACCATCTGGGGAAGTACGGACACCAATCAAAGAGGTGAGCAATTGCTAGAATTCATACTTGCGGCTAACTTAAGTATACTGAATGTGGGGTCTACCCCCACCTTTGTAACTAGGGCTAGACAAGAAGTATTAGATATAACGCTCGGCAGCCCGAGCATTAGCAGAAGGGTTAGACATTGGAGGGTCTCAGACGAACCCTCCCTCTCTGACCACAGAATCATAATGTTCAATGTAGAAGGGCTTGTGACAGAAACCACCTTCATTAGAAATCCTAGAAACACAGACTGGGAAAAATACACCACCAATCTTAAATGTAATTTAGAACAAATCAAGTTCAATGGCAAAAGTCACGTCGAATTTGAGCAGACATTAGAAGCAGTTAATGGTGCAATCATGGATGCATACGAATCCAGCTGCCCCATTAGAGAAAAGAAATCACACAGTGGTACCATTTGGTGGAACGAACACCTGTCAAATCTAAGATCCGAGGTCCGCCGGCTATTCAACAAGGCCAAGTGGGACGGAGACTGGCAGGGTTACACCGAAAGGCTGACAATTTATAACAAAGAAATAAGGAAAGCTAAGAGAAACAGCTTCAGGAACTTTTGTGAGACAATCACTTCAAGTCCACCTGCAGCCAGACTGTACAAGGCCATGGCGCGGGGCAGGGAGCAAGGACCAATGTCTCTCAGAAGATCAGATGGTAGCGATACAGAAGATGAAGAGCAACGAGCTCTCCTTTTACTGGAGACGCACTTTCCAGGTAGTACACCATATGATCCTGAAAGAACACTGGAAGAACCAGGCAGAGCAAAACGAGAAGACTGGGATGTTGCAAAAACCATTTGCACTCCGGCAAGGTTGAAGTGGGCAATCGACTATTTCCAACCATTCAAGTCTCCTGGAATCGACGGCATATTTCCAGCCCTTTTACAAAAAGGGCATAAGGAACTACTGCCGTTCATTATCAAGGCAGCCAAACTCAGTCTGGCGTCCGGGTACATACCGAGCAGCTGGACGAGAGCGCGTGTGACTTTCATTCCCAAAGTAGGGAAGAAGGACCCTACCCTTCCGAAGTCATTCAGACCGATCTGTCTCACATCCTTCTTACTGAAGACACTGGAGAAGATCGTAGATAACTACATCAGATGTGAGATACTGGGGAGGGTGCCCTTGCACCTAGGACAGCATGCATATAGGGCGGGCAGATCAACCGAGACCGCCCTTTTCGTGCTCACCGAAAACATCCAGAGATCACTTGAACATAAAGAAATCGCCATATGTGCATTTCTAGACATAGAGGGGGCATTTGACAACACCTCTCATGAAGCAATAAAGAGAGCTCTAATGAACAAGGGAGTGGACAGAACCACATCCAGATGGATGTGTCAAATGCTGACCACAAGAACAGCGGAAACGAAAGTGGGCGAGAGCAGCTTTCAAATCAGTACGAACAGGGGCTGTCCACAAGGAGGGGTACTGTCACCCTTGATGTGGAGTCTACTCGGGATTCTTACTGAGAACGGAGTAACTTGCTTTGGATATGCGGACGACATAGTCATCATGGCCAAAGGCAAATTTGAAGGGACCCTCTGCGACCTCATAGAGAGAGAGCTAGAGACTACCAGAAGATGGTGCCATTCGGTGGGGTTGAGAATTAACTCAACGAAAACCACATTGGTACCTTTTACTAGAAGAACGAAGGTTCAGCACTTAAGGGTAGTTCGTCTAAACGGAGAAGACCTAGAATGGCAGCAAGAAGTGAAGTATCTAGGGCTCATCCTTGACTCAAAGCTTCTCTGGAATAGACACGTAGAAAAGATCGCCAGTAAGGCAAAATCATCACTGATGGTGTGCAGGAACCTTGCAGGCAAAACGTGGTGGTGTAACCCATCAATACTGCGATGGATGTACACCATGCTAGTGAGACCAATGATCACCTACGGAGCAGTAGTGTGGCACGGCAGAACCGAACTCGCCACTACAAGGAAAATATTAGAGAAGGTGCAGAGACTGGCATGTCTTTGCATAACAGGAGCAATGAGATCAGCTCCAACAGCAGCACTAGAGGTCATTTTGGATCTCACACCTCTACACATCGTGGTGAGGAAAACTGCCTATGGAGCACATCTCAGGTTAGCCAAGGTCGGACTAAGAGGGAAAACGCACAGTGTGAGGGGCTCACCCCCCACTGAGATCGTACACCTCGCCGATCTTCCAACAGATCAAATAATTAGGAAGTTCAGTTTTGAGAAGAACTTCCGAGTGGAGCTGAGCAACAAGCACGAATGGAGCACAGAATCCATCGAATCACTGGGAAGGAACACCATTACTTGGTATACGGACGGGTCTAAAACACCCGAGGGAACTGGAGCAGGAGTCTTTGGGCCTCGCACCAAATACTTCGAATCCATGGGACAATTCCCCAGCATTTTTCAAGCTGAAATACACGCCATAGGAAGATGCATCCAGTTCAACCTAGACAGGAAATACCGGAAGAAGGACATCGCGATCTTATCCGATAGCCAAGCAGCCATCAAAGCGTTGAGCTCTCCCTACATCAACTCGAAGATGGTATGGGAATGCCTAAGCAAATTGAATGAGCTAGGCAGCAACAATAAAGTTATCCTCCTCTGGGTGCCAGGGCACATCGGAGTGGAGGGGAATGAACAAGCAGACGCTCTGGCACGACAAGGGGCTTCAACGCCACTGATCGGACCAGAGCCATTCTGCGGCCTTGGAAATTCCTATTTCCAAGGAGAACTTGAGAAGGCGGAAGGAGCCTGGAGAGCCAGACAATGGAGAAGACTTCCAGGACTACGGCAGGCTAAAGATCTCCTTGGAAATTTCAACCGAGAAAGATCTAAGACACTGACAAACCTCAGCAAAGGAAGTCTCAAAGCAATAACGGGATTTCTAACAGGGCATTGCAGACTCAAAGAACACCTAAGGAAGCTAGGCTTACAGGAGGACGGCACCTGTAGATTCTGTGAGGAAGAACCAGAAACACCCCATCACATACTGATGGAGTGTGACGCTGTACATCACAAAAGATTGAACATACTGGGAACACACCAGCTGACTGTGGAAGAAATACCACGGCTAGACCCCCTCAAAATCCTCAAATTCCTGAAGGAATTGAATCTCGAGGGGCTGCTATGAACAGGAAATCCTTGATATAGCAGGAGCAGATGGGGCACAATAGATCTACTTAGGTCGCAGTGCATCTGTCACCATCCAACCTACCAATACCAATACCAAATCGATTAACTGTCAAACACATAAAACATTTTGTGTAGGTACACCGCCTACTAATTGTATGTTCCAGTTTGACAGAACATTGGTTAAATGTTGTTTCAACATTATTCGAAGGATTATATCAATCTATCTATATTGATCGATACCGTTTCAACTCTATCATGCGGAAGATATCGAATGTGTATATTGCTTCAAAGATGAATATCTTTATCGGCCATTCAATATTTTCCTTCATATCGATCATAGCAGAGGAAATCAATAATCTTTTTCGAAGTTGGCAATGTGTTCCAGAGCCTCGGGAGGAACAATCGTTGATATTCTAGAAGAGCATCGTCTATGAAAATATCTATAAAATAGAGCCAGATCACCAACTTTTTCACGGTGTTCCAGAGAAGTGAGTGAGTTTCTGAGCGAGGCATCACCAACGAGACGAATTGCTCGTTTTTGAACAGAATCCAACAGTTTCAGGGTATGTTTGGGTGCTGCACTCTAAATATGGGAACAGTATTCCAGGACAGGTCGGATCTGTGCCCTATAGATCATGAAAGCAGCAGCTGACTGGAAGTGAAATAGCTTCTGGCCCGAAAGAGAAAACCAAGTTTTGGGATGCACTTTTAGCAATTGATCTCACGTGATTTTCCCAAGAAGGGTTATTGCTGAAAATAATCCAAAGCATCGAAATGGATGTCTTCAAAGGTATGGTTACTCCTGATGAGCTCATGTTGGGCACAGTGAGATCGGCTTTTCTAAAATTATTTTGTGATCTTACAAACTTCCTCCCGTTCATTGGTGTCAATTCAGGATACATCTGCAAGTTCTGGCAATGATTTGATCACATTGTCCGTGTATAATGAGTAACTTCATAATAACTTGGTTTGAATAATCGATATTTGCGTTCATTCTGGGAGATTTTTTGAAACACTCTCAATAAGGATTGCTGAATTCTAAAATTGTTCTAAAATTGTTCTAAAATTTTTCTATCCGTCATTCGGTTATTCGGAATTATTCATTAATGTCACCGAACTGTCATGAGTTTGATATTTTTATTATAATTATTAAGAAAACTTTTGACCACTTGTATGAACAACGGATATAAAACAATTCCAGCACGCCCTGTATGATATGGTAGCGATTTCTCGATGTGAATTGAATACATCAAGCCTGTCCAACCCACAACTGAAATATCAACTCTTAGTGTCTTGAGAGCCCTGATTCACTCAAGTTCAATTAGGGATATGTTTTGGATCATATTTAACACACATCATTGTTTATCCCGAGAACTCATGAAGCAAGATATGATTTATCAAAGAAAGAGTATTGTGATGGTGATGCGATTCCAAAAATTCATTGATATACGGAGTGTATTTAAAAAAATGAAGTTGCTGAGACTTTTTGATAAAAACGGCAACGTCGCAGTTTCGAAAATATCAAAGATCGATAGAACAGGTGATGCGGAATTTTCAGAAAAATCCTGGGTTGCTTTCTCCATAAACGTCTAACCTGCCATCGACCGTGAGTTACCCTGTAGAATCCGCACATACATACCTTCGTCATTTCTGAGCTACTAGTAACTTGCAACCATTCGGCGCTAACGTTTTTGAGTCCCTGGACAATTTCCGCAGAAGAGTTTCCAGGTATTTCCATGGCACCGGCAATATATCGTACTAGAGTAGGTGTAGACCTTGACAATGCCCAGGAGCTTAGAGAAGTACCAGACTGCATGATGGCTCTTTGGAAGAGACCTGTCGAAACAGAGATATTTACCAACGAATATTATCCTGGATGTTTCGAAATGATGAAGCTGGAATAAAACTGCAGATGAATAGACAAATGGAAAACTAGTACGAAGCAGAATGAATCAAGTTAGGTATAGTTCAGAGTTCTTCAATAATAATTAGTAGTATACTTTGATAAAGAAAACGTTTTTTTGGCAACCAACAAAAATTCAATATTACTTTTGCTTTTTTCTCATTCAATTTGAATTATTGTTTTTCATCACTTGGCCGTCATATAATTTCTGAGTTATCAAAAAACTGACCCTTTTCGAGGAGAAAGACCTGGTTTCAATTTTTGAAACAACAAAGTTGATTTAATATCAAACAATAGTTAAACGATATATTTTTGTTGGAAGATGTATGTACCTCATTCTCGTGAGAAAGTATATATCTACAGAAAAGTTTTACCACCTCGTAAAAAGCCAAAAATTAAAGAGCCATGCAATTTTTTCCGAATTTGTTCAATTTGATTCTTGCCAATATCTCCAGAACTCAACTAGGAAAAAGCCAATTACTCAAAATGGAATGCAATGGTTACAAATAGAGAAAAACTAAAAGTCATTACTACAATAAAGTTTATGAAATGAATGAAAATGGTAGATAACGGGAGAAAAACAACTACTTTCCTGGCTACATGCCACGCAGAACATTGGATTACATCCTCCCGAAATCTATGCAATAATTCGTATAGACGAATAAAATCGCAAGTGTTTCCTTCCTAAACGCCGAGCTGCGCCTAAGTGGATCAGGAACGCTTGACTACCTGCAGACCGGCTTCGAGCTGTTGATTCTCATCAGTACAGGGCCACAGATTAACAAACCTTACAGATAAGACAGTCAGACAAGGCGCACAAAATCAGAGAGAGATGACAAAAGCGCAAAGTTTAGAGGAACAGTCTCACTAGAGTCCGACCACGTTAACTTTGGGACAGCATGTGACGCAACGCATATGCATATTCAATGCATACGCGACCACGTGCTGTCCCAAAGTTATCGTGGTCGGACTCTACTGCGCAAGCGCTCGGGATTTTCGGCATGTTTTCCACATTCCAGCACGACTAGCACGACGCCGACGGCCTCGATTCCGGCACTGTGACTGATAGAAGCGTTTTTGTTTATTGTGAATCTTATTTGCTCATCAGTTCCAAAATCGATAATTTGTGTGTTAATGTCCGAAATTTATAGACAAGAAGGGAATAAATTCTATATTCAGGTAAGGTAAAATTTTGTTTCAATAGCATGTGTTCCAATCAACTTTAATTGTTTGAATAATGCCATCTAATCATCTAATTACTTGTAGGTACCTCAATGAAAGGAATTCAGAAAATGGAATCACTTCTATATCAGTCTCGAGCAAGTAGTGCAAAGATCTGTGAATAGTGATAGTGGATTGAGTTATGCTCGAAGTTGAGATTGTATTTTGAGTTGTGCTTGTTACTGTTTCTTGTTCAACTTCGAACATTATAATGAGTGAGCAGAAAGTGGAATATGCAGCAGTTCCTAGTGGAAGACACAGTTGTGTATATATAAACTGCAAGAACACCTCAAATATTTCAGAGAACATTAAGTTACATGATTTTCCAAAGGATGAAACATCATACCAAAGTGCTCTTTTCCAAAAAGTTATAAACAATTGATCAGGTACCTACTTCACTCTCTTTTGTTCAAGTAGAGTGTCATGATTCAGATAATGATAATTTTTCAAAACACTATATATATATATATATATATATATATATATATATATATATATATAATATTCTAAATCACTCCTAGAACACAAGACAATTAATTCAGTCATTATGTATGTACACTGTACATGTACAGGGTTATCCATCGAAAAGGACCACCCCTATATTAAAGTTTTTTCATCAAGAAAAAAAAACAATATGCGAAAGTTGGGTGCCCATCAATGAGGCCTTTCGACATTTGACTCTTCTTATGTTGAATAAAATGTATTGACCTCGATTTATTTTTATGAACACCCTAATCCCAAAATTGTGATGTTTTTCACTTATTCAATTTTGTATGCATGAAAACGCTGTTGAAATTTATTGTATCTACAATAAAAAAAATTCAGATAGTCTTTCTGTTAGGTATTTACTTTTATTTTATACCAGTAAAAATGAATGAATGAATAAAGCTCACTCCTGTCAAGTCTCCAATGTGTTCAATTAATTCCTCTCAAATATTTCTTACATATTGTATCATTTCACGAATTTCCAATGAATTGATTCATATATTGTAGAAAAATATTTATAAACTAATTACAAGGCACTATCTGCATATTATATTAGTTCAAAATTCATCCCCCACAATAATTTCATTCTGAAGTAACACTTTTACAGTTCCCAATATCAATTATTTTGTGCAGATCTAAGTCAGGTAATATTAAATCTGCCTGAGCCAATCAATAAACACATTTGAACCACTTCATGATATCAATTCAATGTAAGCTTTAGGAATTTCTCATGAAGTAAATCCCTTATATCAAGATATTCGTTGATATGGCAACGTTGCATCACGAAGAATTCTGTGACTTCAACCTGAATTTTTGAGAACCGGCAACCGTGACGCGCAAAGTCTAAAGGGACGAGGTCACGAAACACATGTGTCGGTACATCAAACAAAAGGGGCGGAGTGTCTCATCTGTAAGGTTTGTTAATCTGTGACAGGGCTGTCCCATATAGCTTCTTGACTGCTATCTGGTGCGAACCTGGCCCAACGTAAACGCATCTCTGCATTTATACCCAACGAGGCGTTCGAATTCCCGCACTCGACTGCTTGTTAGGAAAATTACTATTTTTTATGACGGGCAAAAAATTTGAAATTCCTTCTCTGTTGACAGGTTATGAAATGTCACTTTTCATAAATTACTCTCTTTCCACGGGATAAGCCAATAACACCTTCTAAGAGAAAGAACTGCAAGTCCTTTTATCTTCCATTCGACTTCGCCGTTACGTAAATTAATAAACAACCACTGAATTTGCAATTTTTGGCAATCAAATCACAAAATTAGACCGACAGATATTTGATTATTTCAAGAGAATGATGAAGATGCCTGCAACGCAGGTGTAATTCCTGTTAAGAACTTCAAATTGTATGTCGATAATTTTCTGATTTCAATATAATGTGACATCTTCCCAATATTGATTCGTCCTTTCTACTGTCACAGAAAGAAATAGTGTATTATACACGGAAAAAATATTGAATTTGTCATAAAAAAATCGTGCATTATACTCGTGAGAAATATTTAATTTTAGCTCACAGTTTTTTGTCTCCCTCCGCTACGCGTCGGAAGACAACAAAACCTGGAGCTAGAATCTACTACTTCTTTCACTCGTGTAACAAATAACTATTTTTCAATTAGGTCCACGGTCAGATGTATTGAAAACAACTTTCCAAGTTGTATAATATTGAATGAAATGCATGCAGCTCCAAGTTTCTAGTAGGTGGTGATAAGTTAGGATTCAATGATTCAAAATTGATTCTTCCCTATGATATGGAATTGAGTAGGTGGTCACAACTCTAGAATATTCTACCAAGATACTGAAACAGCTCAGATCACACAGAGAATAATTAGTCTGAAGAACATTGAATCATCTCATTTGATGACTCAATAGAGAAAAGTTTGATATATCCTTTATATTATCTTGTGAAATTAGCTCACCTCATTCTAGAAAACTTGAAATAGATATTCTTCATATACAATAATTCTGACTTAATTGTAATACACCACTTCTCATTCTGTGCATGAACTCATTTGAATTTTTTTCATTACACCTAGTAAACGATACTTGCAGCAACTAAGTTCCAACTAGAATATTTCTCCAAGCAATACTTTGAATGGTTGAAGTGAAATGGAACCTCTGCCAGTTGGTTATTTCATCCAAGAAACTGAATAAAGCTTCACCTCTGACCTGACACATCATTTCCCGCTATTTTTTTATTCAAAGTTCAATTAATCAAAGACAGAAATCTATGTTACGTTAGCGGTGCCAATATGCATAATGATGCTGTACAAAGGACATACCTCTGTCATGACAAAATGAATATTCAAATTGGCCAATTCGGCGTAATTATCAAGGTACGAAAAATTTGATTCACCTTGTATCTTCTCAATCCTTTGATCATTTCGACTGGAATTTCATACACTCAGTCTACTGATCGAAGTCCACTTTCTGAAATACAAAATGTAACCAAATTCCTGGTCCTGACTTGGAGATTTTCAATCTTAGGTCTCTTAAAATTTTCGATCTCTGCTTGACATTCCTGAAACTAGATGAATTAATGAACAGAGAGGAGTGAATAACTCCTTTGGCACATTCTGTACCTTTGAAATAGAATATTGCTCTCATGTGAACTAATGTACCATTTATTCTATTTTATCCTCACTTGGAATTGAAAATAAAAATAAAGGAAATGAAATATCATAATTAATTTTTGAAATGCATGCATGCTTCAGCTTAGTTGAATAAATTCCCAATCGACTTCCGAATCATTTGATTATTTTGTCTGATTCTCAATATGGTTCAACAAATACTGTTCTCTGTTCTCAATGGGATCACTGTTGATCTTTTGTTTCAAATGATCTAACAAGAAATAATCGGGAGGATTGAAATCTGGGGGCCTAGCTGGCCATGGAAGTGCCCTACCACTTCCAATCCAACGATTTGAATATTAATTATCTAGGTGGGAACACATCAACATCAACACCTGAGACGGAGCATCATCATGATAGAGATGAATTCCTCTTAAATCCACGCGTTGATTGAGATCTAGCAAACCCGGTAACATATTTTGGAGGGAATTCAAGCAAACAACTCTCGTCATTCTGTGAGGAATTCATGAGATCCAATCGATGAATTG